TACTGTCCGCTGTTCAGAGACAAGACCTGGTCTTAATTTCAAGGGTTCGCCTTTCACCAAACCCTCTCTATACTCCACTCCTCTCTCCCCACTCCCACTGCCTTCTTTTGGCCTCTTTCCTGAACGACTGAAGTAATTTCTAAGTGATCTCAGTTCAGTCTGTACGCGTACCCTCTGATCTACTTTTATGCTTGTTCTTCATATTTCTAAAGCAAGCTCAGATTGAGTTGTTCCTCTGCCTGAAAATGTGTGATGGGTCTCTATTTCCAACCAAATTCAGTTCAAATTCTTAAGGCCTTCTATGATCTGGTCCCAGCCTACTTTAAAGCATTTTTTTCTTCCATTCTTCCCCTTCAGGGATCAGCAATGCTTGGCAAATTAAGCTGCTTTCCTTCCCTGGACACGCTGCCTCTTTGGCTCAATGTTGTTTCCCAGAGTCATCTCCCTTCTCCTCGTTTCTGCCTGTACAAATCTCTTTTCAAGGAAAACCCAGCTCTGATGTTCCTCCTTTCATGTTGCCTCCCCTGATCCCTCCAGCTGGGCCTCTCCCTCCTTCAAACTTCCCAAGCACACTTTCTGGTGTTTCTCTCATGGCAACCAGTTATTTCTGTTAGTTTTTTCTTCTTTACTTCAGAAATCGTAAGTTCCTAAGGTCAGACTTCATTTATTCAACCAACCCCAGGCCTGGGGACACCTTGGTACAAGAGACAGAAATGGGCCGAACTTATGGAACAATCTAGTGTTTAGTCCAACTGATTTTAAATAATCAATACCAAAGTAATAAAAGTATAGGATGTTCTTTGAACTTAATGGGAAGTCCCAGCCCGTGTGGGAGGCTCTGGGAAAGCTTCAAGGAATGATATTTAGGTGTGGACTTGATGGATGAGTGAACAAGATGAAGGGAAGAAAATGGCAGGACCAGTGTTTCAGAGAACAATCCGGGGAAATTTTGGCCCAAAACTTTGGCTGATGGCAGTTGTTCTGAGGATTAGGTTTAAAGTTAACACTCATTCATAACTCCATATAGCCTTATATTTCAGACCCGTATTTAAAAATGAGTAAGACTCTGATATATATGAAGTGAGAATTGAGGCACGTGACATGATGAAACTAATTCTAGGTGTTCTGTCCTAAGGTTCTGTGATAAGTACCTCTGAACATTCTGGTAAATTGGGCTTATGACTATTTCTTAGCAACATTTATTCATTCAACTTTTTTTTTTTTTTTTAGTTCTACTATGTGCCAGACACAAATAAAGAGTCTCTGATGTCAAGAATTCAGTCAGGGGCCGGCCGAGTGGCTCAGTTGGTAAGAGTTTGCCTAAGAGCACGAGCTCTGAGCAAGAGGATTGCCAGCTCGATTCCCACATGGGTCAGTGATGCTGCACCCCCGGGCTGAGCTGCCAAGTGGCAGGATGGCTCAACTGGTGAGAGCACGTGCTCCTAACAAGGCTGCAGGTTTGAATGGTGGGCAATGCCCACCCGCAACTAAAGACTGAACTTGGCACCCTGAGCTGAGCTGCCACCTGGATAGATAGCTCAGTGGATAGAGCATGTGCTCTTAACAAGGCAGCTGGGTGTGACTCCTGCATGGGATGGTGGCTATGCCTACCCGCAACTAAAACTGAACTCGGCACCTTGAGCTGAGCTGCCGCCCGGGTGGGCTCAGTGGATAGAGCGTGTGCTCTTAACAATGAGGCTGCTGGTTTGACTCCCGCATGGGATGGTGGCTACGCCCACCCGCAACTAATTGAACACAGCATCTTGAGGTGAGCGGCGCGACTGGACTTGGTGCTAAGCTTGCTGTGCCCTCCACAACTAAGACTGAAGGACAACAAACTTGGCTATTCCCCTCTCCTGATTCCCCAACACTGTTCCCCTTCCCCAATTCCCTAATAAAATCTTTAAAAAAACAAAAAAACCTTAAAAAAGTTCTCAATTTGTAAAGTGCAAACGTAAGAGTAAAGTGACTACTAAAAAAAAAAGAAGTCAGGTGAAGGAGGCACACTAGATTATAGAGTGGTTACTGTACACTATGTGCTGCTCTGAGCATTGTATGTATAATTTAATTCTCATAACTACCCTAAGAGGTAGACTTCCAAGACGATGTGATTGAGAAGTGGTCTGGTGGAGCTGAACAAAACCTGCTATGGGAATACACAGGAGGGACCTTCACCCCAAGCTGGAGGTAGGTGGGAGTGGAGTGGGAGTGAGGACGGAGGGGCAGGTTTCTAGAGGAGGTGAAACCTGATCAGTGTAAGAGCCAGGCAGAGCAGGCTGGGAAGGGTATCCCGGGGAGAGGGAGGCCGAGTTTCAGCAGGGCAGTGGCCTGGTTAGGAAGACGACTCTGGTAGCATGTGAAGGATAGACTGGAGGGGGCCCAACCGGAGACGGGGGAGGAGCAGTCAGGAGGTTGTTTTTGTTAGTAGAAACAACAAAGGTTTGAATTAAGCTAATAGCAGTAGGGATGGAGAAAATGATGGAAACTGTTATCAACAGGGATGGGAAAGAGAAGCAAGTGGCGGTATTTACTAGGTAAGAGCACACAAAACAGAGCACATGGCCAGTCCGCATCTTTAGGACAGTCACATGCCATTTTTTTTCTCTTGTGAGAAAAAGTTAACCTCCTACTCTTCTTTAAGAAAACGAGGTCCTGGCATAAAAGACAAACATACCCATCTGCATTAATTCACATTTCCTTCCAGCATTACCCTCCTCTCTCAAGGGTCTCCCAAAATGCTAGTGCCCCAAAAGAATCAGAATGCTAGAACTGGCAGGGTCAAAGTTCCTGGCTTTTCTTCCAATCACTGTGTCTCGGGGAGAACCGAGCCCATGCGGATTACAGGCGCTCCTGAGTCAAGGCTTCTGAGGTCCCAGCCCTGTTGGCGGCCTGACTTCAGAGTGGATCTACTGCCTTTCTATAAGGGGTAGGAAGGACACTACCGATGTGGATCACACATTTGTTATTACTCGCCCTGCTTATCTCGCTGGGTTTTTGAAGACCATATTACCGAAAGTGCTAGCGTTTTATAAACGTAAAACATCTGAAAAGGAATTTTTACAAATTCTGTAGGTAGACTCATTTGTATTCAATAAAGGATTCTGCTCCCGGACAAAATTTGGCATGTATACAAGTCCTACCTTATATACTGCTGATGCCTGGACTGCCAAAGGGAACATATCTGCCTCAGCCTCTAATGTAAAACGGACTACAGGAATTTACTTGGTTGTGATCATTTCCTTCTGTTCTAAAACAGTGGTTCTCAACCTTCCTAATGCCGCGACCCCTTAATACAGTTCCTCATGTTGTGGTGACCCCCAACCATAAAATTATTTTTGTTGCTACTCTATAACTGTAATTTTGCTACTGTTATGAATCATAATGTAAATATCTTTTTGTTTTCCGATGGTCTTAGGCGACCTGTGAAAGGGTCGTTCGACTCCCAAAGGGGTTGCGCTCCACAGGTTGAGAGCCGCTGTAAGCAACTTTCCCAACAGAGCCTCCAGATGGCAAGAATCGTCAGAGGCAATTCACTTGAGGCTGGCTCTTTACTGGGTGTGTGTCTGTGTGTGCCTGCGTTGGTAAGCCTGCCTGACTTTTTCAGGTTCTCTGGTCAATGAAGCTCACTCATTCACTGAATGACTTCCGGCCAAAGGCAGTCAGAAACGTTAGCTGTGGAAAAAATTAGGCAGGGATAGAAAGAAGAGTGTGGGATTATGTGTGGAAGCTCTGCAAAATGATTGTAATGCCAGTCCTGCCCAGTCTCTGCAATGACTTGTTCGCTTATGTAGGCATAGAAATTTCAAATATTTTTTTTGTAGGAAAATTCAAGTGCACCAATCAGAGTTTAAGAAGAAAACAATAAAACAGCTTTCCCTTTGTCCCTAAGGCTTTTCAAACCTTAGTTCTAAATCAGTTTGTTGATAAGGAATTTCTTTCTAGATTGAATAAGCCCTATCTTAGTCAGTTTTTCCATTTGTATAACTTTATCCATATAAAAAATGAATTACATTAAATTTTGGGATTTGATATTTATGAACAAATTTCTCCTACTTACACTCTTGGTATGTCTGTAGATTTTACTTTGTTCACTTTCTCAGTTTAGTCCTTAGAACAAACATTCCTGTTCAAAGGAAAATGCCTAAACTATTAACTTTAACTCTATCAGTTAAGGAGATAGTCATCTTTTGTTTTTACCTTTAGCAGATTCCCTGAAAGGAATTTTTCTGGTATGTAATTCATATGCAAATCAAACTCTAGGATATAATTATTTTAAACTCTACATTTTGCATGGATATATGTTATCTGTGTGTGAGGTTACTGAGGAAACCAATAGTTTGCTGGCCCTGAGGTTTGGTAAACCGTCATTAAAATCATTCAACACACTGTATGAAAAGAGAATGCTTCCTCAAATTTACCCTCTTTCTCTCTGAACTTAATTCTAAAGTGATCCTGGGGCCAATGAAATAATTTTCTTTGCCTGTAAGTCTCATTCTATAGACCAGTTATTGTCAAAATCCACATCAAGATGAATCTAAAGTTAGAAAGCCCTTCCTTTGGGCTCTCATAGACTAATGAGCTGCTTTCCCCTGGTAAGTACCTATTTTCTACTCCTTGGTTGTAAGATATTATTGAAAGGTCACCAATGGTCTCTAATCGATCAAGTATAACTTCAGGAAGATTCAGAGCAACTTCTTGAGATATAACCCACCACTGAGGAAGTAGCTTTGCAAAAGTACCTGTTTACAGCTGTAGATCTGATGACTCTCTAACAAGCCGCCTTTATATCTCTTTCAGTCTTAGGGGTGGTGTTCGTGCCATCTTTGCCCTTTCAGCTCTTTCTTACTTGCCCAGGAAGCTGACATGTGCTGTCTGACGTAACACTCTCTAGTCTTGTACACACTCAGTGGACGTTTACTTAGGCGACGCATTATTCTGATGACTTTTCTTATCCACTTGACCTCAACTAACACCAATTCTTCATTCCAGTCAACAAGAAATAACAGCAGGAAGTTTTATTCCATAAAGCATTAAGATATTTTAATGAGGAAAAAAATCCATATCTTAGTCTTATGTTTGTTTCTATTCAAAGACACTCAAAACTAGTTTTTCCCTGCCCATCCCTTCTAACTGTAACTTTATTTGTGACCATGTAATAAAGGCCAGTTTAAAGATATTTTTTTAAAAAGTTTAAACCTTTTTAAAAAAGATTAAACAACCAGGCTAGCAAAAAGGTACTCAATACATACTTTCCTTATATCAAACAAGCTAATATTTCAGTACAATGTAGCTATACAGAATATATACAATACACATATGTTCACAAAGCAAACACTATAGGCTCAGAACAGATTTGAAAAAACATGGTATTCACATTGATTACAATAACTCTAAAAATGATTGTAACGTTCAAACGGCACTTAGTTTACAAAAAAAGTCACAAAAATATATATATGAATATATATATGTAGTCATCAAGAACTATGGTTCCTGTAAAATACTAATAGCCAGATACTAGTATATAAAATGTGAAGTTCTGACATTGTATACATTTTTATGAAATAAAACAAAACAAAATCCAAAACCATTTTTGTGATTGTTTTAAAGTCAAACATGCCAAGTAATTTAGCTATGGCCACTGTCACCAAATAAAGCCATACTTGAATGAGATGACAACTGGATACAAAGCTGGTGAATTGGGGACTGGCACAGTTAAGAGAATAGTACTGTTTCTAGGTGAGGGGTAGAAGACATAAAAACACCCATCTACATAATTTAATTCACATTTCCTCCCCAGCATTACCCACCCCCAAGGGTTTCACAAAATGCCAGTGCCCCAAAAGAATCATAATGCTATAACTAGCAAGGTACAAAAGTTTCCCCCAAACGTCTTTGATGTTGGGCTATAGGGAAATATTAAAGCATGCATCAGATAAACAAAGCAGTCACTCATCGGGAAGACTGTGGTGCAGTTTCCTCCTAGGCTGGTTGTACTAGAAAGTACTCCAGATTTTAAATGGAGCCAGATTTATATGTTAGCTCTGTAAAATACTGAGCTAATGTAGCAGCAAATATGAAATTACACAAACAAAAACACAATTTTATTTAAAAATTCATTTCTGTTACATCAAAACATTTTATTTCCTTCACATTTGTCTCCTTTAACCCGACACCAATTTCTTCTATCGCTGAATTATGGTCTATTATCTCAATCTGACTTTCTCATTATGTTGTGGTGGAAAAAGACATGTCCTAATCCTGGAAAGTTTAAATTTACTCTTAAAAATGGGAATACAGGAATTTTAAAGTGAAAAAACAGAAGTCTGTTCTAAAAGTATCTCTCACAAATATATATATTTAAATATTAAAATAGGCTACATAGGGTTTTTATAAAATGGCTTTTGAAAAGATAGCAGAGGCACAAAGAAGCCACATACTACCCTCCAACTGGACATAAGGTGCCATCAGTGTGCCCTACAAAGAGGCAGGCAATCTCGAGCTGATGCAACAGGAGGCATCAGTAACAACAGAAAAATCAAATATATTATTGGAACTTGGATTGAAAACCAAATTTTACCCTTTTAAGGACTGCTGTTTTTTAAAAATATCTTGAAATATAGGCATTCGAAGCCATCACTTTGTACAAGGAAGAAAATGAATTAAGTTTAATGACCGGACTCCTTCCAAATACCTGATGGCATTCATTTCAGGCACCTGAAAGATGAAAAACAGTGCAACTTCCAGTAACTTAATGGACTACTCTCAGTATGAGAGACTTACATAGCTTTTGTCAACTGGAAAATTCAATTGATAACTGAAATAAAAGAAAACTCTTAGAGAAAACACACTTATAAGCTAATCATAGAAAAGGTTCCCTCTAGAAAACAGGTGTTTCTAGGAACTGCACGAAAGGCTTCCCATCTTTAAATGAATACAGCCCCACTAATACCGAGGGAAACATATGTTAAGAGGTGACCGGCTACTCTTAACGTAGGGAAGATTTACCCTTCCTCAGTAAGTGATATACTTTGGTATCCTGAATTTCATTTACAGGAAGATTTTTTAACTTGTTTAATTGAAAAATGAAATGTGGATATGGTTAGACGACATTTGGGAAAACAAGGACAATTTAATCAAGTCATGAAAATGTAGCCCCTCAAACCATCAAGCAGAAATTTTATCAATAAATCATCACAACTGAGCCCAGGGCTTAATTAGCAAAGTTGGCTTAATTAGCAAAATCAGCTTAATCAGCAAAATCAGTCAATTGAAAAGAGAAAGGAAATAATCAAAGAATTTGATTTTATAAACCAGGCACTTCAAACTGAAATTAAAAAATTGAGTTTTAAAAAAAATTTTTTTAAGTTTTTGTTTTCTATCAATGGTCAGAATTCTTAAATTCTTTGTAAACTATTATGTAAACAGTAACCTTGGTATTAGTTGGAACTGGCCTGCGTCCTATACAGAGGGAGCTTACTTAATTAAAATAGAACTAAGGCAGTCTCATTTTCAGGTACTGCCACACTGAGATTCCAATAACATCGCCTGACATCTCTGCAGAGACTATTTGTAAAGACATGGATCTACTACTTTTTTCTATCATAAAAATATAATCATTATGACATAGTGAAATATCTGTGTTAGTTTAGTATGAAGTACAACTATGATGTCACCAAGAGTCTTCATCCCATAATCTGACATAGACTTAACTCCCCATTAATAAATCTCAACATATTTATAATCTAAAAAGGAAATATCCATAGAGTGTCTGTTCCTTAGTTGAACCTAGAAATTGGTTCAATTCCACTTCATTGTTTAATCTGAACCATTATTGCTTTTGGCAATAGTGTCTTGCTGAGGACTTTCCAAATAAAAATATACTCTATTGTCACGACATTCTGTCAAGCGACTGAAAGATAAAAATTGGTATAGGCAAAACAAGGAATGACTTAATTTAAATTTTGACAATTTTAGCTTAAAGCCTGTAGGACTATGTTTAGCTATAAATATTCCTCATAGATGTTTACTATAACAGAGCTTCCTCCAATTTTGTTTCACTGCTTCAGAAAAGAAAATTAAGTTTCTATATATTCTCCTCTCAGTAACTTTCAAAATCTAAATATATTATAAATAAAGTATCTTATGTCAATAACTTACAGTGAAAAAACCACCTTTTAGCAACTTTGGGTCACTTCCAAAGCAAACTTTACAGTCCCCCGCCCCAATTAATATTAACATCTAGAAAACATTCTCCCTCACTTGGATGTAGATTTCAGAGTTATAACTTCACATTTCGCAGATGAGTGAAAATAGAATAAGTATCTGCATGGAAGTATCTATTTCTCTTTATCAATTCCTCAAATCTCAAACTCCTTTCAGCTAAATATTACAATTTTAGGACTGTTCATTCATCAAGTAATAAGAATAATTCGCTCCATGTGGTACACTAGTACAAATTACCATACAATAATGTACTTTTCTGGGACTATAAAGTTAAAATACACTAAAAAATGATCTGAGAATCTTTAAACTAAAAGCCACTAAACTAGGTAAGTGGCCTCTATTTAGAAAAAGGTAAGTACAAGAATAAAAAATAATAAGAGATAAAAGACTGAAAGAATAATATGACTTTCAAAGGCTCTCAGGGAACCACTTATACATGGGAGAGACTGGCTCAGTAGTTAGAAGGTAAGAGAGTTACTGATGAGAAGTACATTAGATGTGCTGACTAGTCCATTCCATTTGATAAAATAGTTTAACAAAATGGAAGCTTTTTTGTTTGTTTTTAAAGCCAAAGGGCATATGTCATAACATGGAACCAAATTATTGTAAGCCAGAATGGTTGCTGAAATGTTAAAATGTAAGACTGAATGAGGCTATTTAAACATTTTAGTACACCTTGTCTCACTGAATTTGAGAATTTTGGTAATGTACTAAATGTATAACTAATTATTTGAAATAAAAATTAAGATTACTTGAAATTCAAATTAAGCAAAATCCATTTAAATATATTGGTGGGTGACAAACTCCATCTACTTCCCTTTATAGAAAACTTAAAATTCAAAAACATAACCAATATTAATCCCTTTGTTTCTGAATTAGTGCGATCGATCACTGATATGCTAGAGGCTCCCACTGTTAGAATACGCCCTCAAAAATGCAAAGAAAGACTGCAAGAACTGTATATCCAGTATCACGGCAAATATCTGCTCATTTCTAAAGTATATCACACCTATTTGGTAGCTTAAAAATTGAAAATAAATAATTTTTTTATATAAAATACTTGGTTTTAAAAAGGCAATTTATCCTGTATCCTAAAATTTAAGCCCTTAAATATCACAGTTACCCTAATGGGACTTAAGACAGCTATGCTTAAGTATTTTAACCTGGAATTTTTAATGTTTAGTTATACTGGTAGTTTCTAATGAATGAGATAATATAACTGCCTTTCATCTCTTTGCAATGTTTTCCATATATTCTGGTAAAAAGAATATATCCAAACATCCCTTTCTTGGATGAACTTTAAACAAATCTAAATAACACTATATACAGTTATCCCTTGCAGCTTAGTTTCCTAAAACAGATCTGTAAGCTAAATATCCTTGAACAGTGTATCAAGAAAAATCAGAGCCTCCTTGAAACAGAAAAAAGGAGGCCTTTGTTTATATTGTGTTATGTTAGATATTAGTTAACTGTATTGATAAGATATGGGGAGTAGACAACTAACCAAGTATGTATTTTCACAGTAGTATATTTAAATTTTTCATAAAACTTGGAAATCTGTGCAATTTGTAATTACCAATGAACATCTAAAGTTCCCATTTGGGAAAGAATAGCCAGTGGTGGTAATTCTATATTCTGAAAACACAGAACACCTCAGAGCTGCCAAAACTGTGCAGGGCTCTCTTAACGTAGAGGTCTCAGGACAGGAGATGTGCTGAACACTTCCAACCAGCAAACCCCCAAATGCTTCTAATGCATTTCTTTATCCCTATTTCTTTCCTTATTTTCTTCCTTCCTTTTTCTTCTTTTTTTAGTAACTCTTAGACCTGAGGGCAACAACAATTGCTGGTCATAATTTTGCCTATTCTTTGTCTTGTCCACATAAGATTTTAAATTAACTTTGACATTTATCTACCGGTAGGCATAATAGTTTTCAAAGAGTATATATGACATTAAAAATTCCTGACCTTTCTAGTTGAGACACAGCAGTACCATTACTAAGCAAGTACCAGTCTGTTGCAGAAAGTAATTCACCCCTATTAGTAAAGATGCATAAATGGTGGAAACCCATCATAACCTGTATATGTTGACTTTCCTGAAGGTAATATCCGTATGTTTGAGAGCAAGGGGGTAAAAACGGGATCATCAATGAGATACTAGGAGTTGGAAACAAGTTAAAGACAGCAGAATATGGAAAGAGATATAAAGAACATTAACCTAAAAAAATTCTCAATGAGTTTACTTTCCTTTCCTTTATATTTATGGGAGGTAAAATAAATTACAGAATTAGCATATTTAAAAAAGTGAAACAATTAAATCATTAAAACCTAAAAATATATTTTATTATTAAGGTCTAGCACCTGAACAAAATTCAGATCGTGTGTTGAATAAGAAAGTATATTTTATTTCTTTTTTCTGATTGAATCAGGTGCTTTCATTATTATTAAACTTTGGGTATACATATAGGAAAAGTTACTCAAAAGTTCATTGTTCATGAACTCATGAATATTTAGGATCAAAGCCAGTGATACTATAAATGGCACTAGATGAAAAGTATACTCCAGCTTACAGTATCATTAATTTCAACTAAAAAAGGAAGTTTCATTTTTTAGCAGCAAAAGAGGTGATACTCATTAATTTAAGGTTTTTAGTTTTTCTTTAGTCTTATTTATGAGTCAGATTTATGAGTCAGAGATCATCATTTTATAGCCTTTTCTCATCTTTTACATTATTGCTTACATTGTGTAAAAACTACACGAACTGCTTTTAATAAACTTGGCAATATCTAAAAATATTTTGGAACAAGGACAATGTGTCACTGTCATATGGGATTTTTGTAAACAATCTTAGTTGGGTTAAGAATGTAGCCTTAATAGAGAATTCTTTATTTTGTCCAAAACAGCACAATAAAAACATCCCCAACAATACATAAACCTACATATAAAATATAGACTATCTCCAATATTTTTCCTTTATATAGTATCACGCCAGCATATGCAAGAGAAAGTATTGTTGATGGGGAAAGAGGAAAACTGATTTAGGCAGTGACCTAATTAGCCAGGCATTAACATTCAAATACGAGGTAAATAACAATTTCAGCTAGAAAAGCAGTATTAGAATTCCTATGAAGCTGGGATTTACACACTACATTCTCCATTCCTGGTCACTGCATGCATAGCTTGACTATTCTCAATCACTGTTCTCTGCCTTCTTTTATAGAAGATTATTTGAATGAGTGGTACTATAAGATACAGGGACTGCCTACCCAATATCAAAATTCCACTATGAAAAAAATCAGAATAAAAATGATAAAGCTTAAAAAAGAGTATGTTGGATTTCAGTAGTATTTACCCCTAATAATTTTTAAGAAAGCTTACCTTCAATACTTGCCAAAACAACAGGCTTTACAAAATATTGTACAATGTCCTGTGTATAGGAGTAAACATCTATTTGGGCCGTTTGTCAAATTCTTTTTAGCAATTTGTTTCTGGTGTACCGTTTCATCTCAAGAAGGTCAATATTGATCTGATTTCTCCTTTACCTAATGATCTGTTGGTTAGCCTACTTTTAAGAATGGAAGAAGAAACTGATACATGTTTTAAGTCAACTGGTTCTCCTTAAGTCTTATAGCTTCTATTATTATTCAATATCATGTTTATTGTGCACTTACAGAAGCAATCTCTCAGTCATGAAAAATAAAACACCAGTTGCAGGGTTTACAAAGTAAAAAAGGGAAATTCTTTCCCAAACCCATTTTTGTTTAAAAAATTGAACAAAATTTAAATGTAGAAGACCAAGCACAGGCACTTTCCAAAAACAAAAAATGAAACCAAACCATGAAATTACTCAATAGTTACAGAAGACAACTCTGATTTGGGGGGGTCACCTCCGGGAGCCTCGGCACAAGCACTGGTCTTTGGTTGCTCTGGCATTTCTTCCTCCTTTTCTGCCAGCCCACCAAGAGACCCCAAGGGAAAAGTGCTTTCACAATTCTGGGTTGAGGAGACCTGTGAAATTACAGGCATTTGAACAGAGGAGTTGCTTTCAAAACTGTGTTCTCCAAGATCATACTGAACAAGGGTCTCTTCTTGCTCCTGGTTTAAGTAGTCCGGTACTAGGAAATCACTAGATAAGAGGCAAAGGATGAAAGAGGGAGTTAACTTTCAAACCAGTAATAAGTAAGATACATAAAAAGACCTGATTTGTAAAACAAGATCGGGATTTTTCATTTTTCTAATTATGGAATGAGATGATCCTTGAATGAAGATTAAATTCAGGAATTTTCAACTTCTAAACTTTCTTAACTCTTTTGCTGCATTAATTGATTTCAAGTTTTTTTTAAAAATGTGTCAGAAATCCACAAAAACCAAAAAGTTGATATTTTCACTATTTTATGCATTCAATAATAACAATTTGAGCTGCTTTGTATATAAATGACATTTTTATGTATAAAAATTGTGGATATATTCATTGGGATATATCCAACCATTGTGGCAAAAGGGCTAAATATGAACCAAAGAGATCCATTAGAAAGAACCAAAGTATATCAACTCTCACCACCAACAGATAAGATTCAGTGTCATGTTGGGCACCTAAATAGTCTTGTTTTATGTAGATGAGTTTCTGTATACAAAACAAATGCAATTAGCATGCTCACTTAAGCAAAGAGCATTTGAATAATTTATGCTTAACCTTTCTTGGATTATACATTAATTAAAAGGTATATAAATCTCAGTTTCATTGCTTCCTGAATCTAGTTAAAAAAACTAAATCCTTACGCATAAATGACCTTATGCAAAATCTTCTATACAGAGAAATGTAAAAAACTAATTTATATGTGTCCTGCTATTAAATTTGGTATATGAAAACAGTAACAAATTACTTTTGAATCAGAATTTGGAAATGAATGCCACGAGATTAGTTACATGTTAGTCCTCAGGAAGTATTTAATATTCTCTTGATACAATAATTAAATTTGATTATTGAATGTGGACAGTAAAATATACCAAAATTTTAACAACAGTAGATATTATTCCTGAGTGGTGAAATCAGAAAAGATCTTTAATTTCTTATATTTTATACTTGTTTATATTTACTAAATTTTCTACTATAAGTATACTTGTAGTTAAAACAAACATTATGAAATAAGTCTTATCTTAGAAGCTTTATTTAAATCTTTATTGTTTCATAATACCAGAAAGGTCAACAATTAACATACTTAGTAAGGTTATTTTATAATTTGTTAAGTATTAAAAAAAAATGAAAATCTGCTCATGTACAAAGCAATTTAATATATCCTATATTTTTTAAAAAGTCTTCAGGTGTTAGACAACAAGAGAAGAGAATAGAGAGCTGTGTATAGGGAAGACACAGACATTAGGAGTGGTTAACTGGGACACTATTTTAGTCCTGAACAATGTTTCATATGACAAATATAACCTAGGTTTTGTGATATGACAACCAGACACTCAAGAGTTAGAAATGATTACATTAAACAAAAGGAATGTCTGATTGGAAAAGAAAAACAAAATCTATGCAGGAATAATTTGGAATTTATTGAAAAATGAGATCAAAAAATGAAAGTGGTTTAAAATTAAGATTTCATTTAATAAGAAGCTGAGGATTCCTACAGCTGTATTAAAAATAGACAACAGAATTTTATATCTAGGTGAGACCTTAGAAATCACCTTTAAAGCTTACATTTTATCTTTCCCTAACTTTCAAACTTCTTCATCTGTAAAGTGACACATTCAATCATAACAGCAGTTATGGTAGAGTTAGAACTAGATCCTGATTTCCTTGGATACACCATAAATCAGAAAGGTAACTCTGTTATAAATTATTAATATTAAAAGCATGAAGCTTTAAGCTGAAAGAAAAAAAGAAAACCTCATTTGATCTAAATAATCATACTCATTATAAATGCTATTAAAATTTCTCTCTTATTGTACATTCCTTTATATAGAATTTAAAAAAAGAGAGAGAAGTGGTCAGGAATTTAATTAACATCCAAAGAGTCTGAAGTAATCCAATATCACTAAGTATCATCTGACATGGTCAATTTTCCAATAAGGTCATTTAAGATCCACTACAGAATTATTTTAACTTTATATTATAAAAACTAAAACAAAAAACCCAAGAGGGTAAGTAGTCTACTTCTATAGGAAAAGATTTCTAATTCCAACTATAGTAATATTTTTAATTGTATATAATTAGAAGATTCAGCAAAATTTGATCAGATCAGGAGATCAGAGTATGGACAGTGGGAATTTAAAAGGAATGTGACTGATAACCTGGCAACCTGATAAAAAAACAACAACACAGCAGGCTGCCCTAAAAGCAGGAAAAGAGAGTTTAGAAAGTAGTTTTCCTGGTACAGTTTTCGTTGTGCACCTCACCTGCTCTGGAAGTAGTTTGCTAGCTCTGACGCTTCATGGTTCAGACTCCTCAGGTGCACGATTAAATTTCCAGAGTTGGTGAACATGGCGCCACATGTTTTGCACTCGTAAATCCGAGGCTTGCGGATAATGTGCCGGGAAACCCTCATGTGGTGTTTATATTCCCCGAAGGAAGTGAAAGTGGCACTACATATCTGGCACCGGAAACAGCGTTTACCTTCATGCTTTAGGCGATGCATCTTTAGCGAGTAAGCCCTGGTGAACTTTTTCCCACAGCGGTCACACTGAAATGGTTTAATTCCTATAAAATAAAGCAAAAACAATTATCTAAAAACAAAATCAACTGAAAGGTCATAAACCTCACATATTTCTGAACTATAATTTGCAGCAATAGATGAATTTGAAAAGACAAAAATCACCACCAAATATAAATTCCAATTCGTTATCTTAGAAAAAGTATAGAACATTTGAAGAGTCACTAGTGCTTTAAAAAAAAAGAAAGAAAGGCAAGAGGTGGTGGAATAAACTAGGTAATATACACTCATATTGATTTTTTAATACCCTTCTAAATTATCTATTTCACAGACTTGAAAACACAATTTAACCACAGTATTTAAACGGAACTCAAATCCTCATATCACATTTATTTCATTTCATTAAAGTAATGGGTTTTATGTTGAAAAGATGTGAAAATGATCAGTACCTAACTCTTTATCCCCTATCTCAGAGAGAAATGAGAAAATAAAAAAAATTCTAACATCTCTGAACATACTTAATGATCATGACAGAACTATCATTTGATGACTTGGGTTTTTAGGTATTTCTTGTAATAGTGGTAGAAAAAAATATGTAGAAATTAATATGTGAATTATAAATTATATTAATGGTCTCCTCCAATTAATTATCACAGTTCTGGTAAAATTTTTAAAACCTTCGAAATACAATCTGTTGATTTAACAGTCATAGGGAATAGATGTTAGTCAAAGGGACTATTAGACCTATCTAAAGTAGAGGAAAGTGAGATAATAACACAGCTGAAAATAATAGCAAAGATTTCTTTCAGAGGTCACTGGTTTACCCACAAGACTTTTGTTGATCACTGAACATAAGTTTCAAATCTATTTTACACATCATTTATTCAAAATCTCTTTCATACTAAAAAAAAAAAAAAAAAGACAGGGCTAACTAGCCAGAGAAATTCAGGATTGCAGAATTAAAATTTAACTATTATTATTAAATTTTAAAAAACTTTTTACTTGGAAATAATTTCAAACTTACATACAAAGGACACTAATATATACCGTTAACTCCATTTGTTCTACCATCTGTATACGTGCTTCTCTATTTCATATGTATACATACACCTAATATATCCAATATCTTTTAAATTTACGTAGTATACACATACAATGCTCTAAGTTTTAATCAGAATGCTTATACCTATGGAAAATGTATTAAGCAAACAGCTTTCTGACACTGCACCATTTCAGCAATAGACTTAGGCTTATCTGTTCTCATTTGACTTCCAAGAGCTATGTATTTTTTTAACTCAAAAATACCTGTCTTCTATTTTTAACTGGGATTCCAAAATAAAATGTTTTCGAGTACTCATTTATGCTACAATAGGAACATGACATTACCTGAGTGGATGAGCATGTGCTGTTTTAGGTTCTGAATACGGGTGAATCGCACCCCACAAGTTGGACACTGAAAAGGTCTGTCTGGACCATTTGGACTTGGCCGTTCTGTACTGCTGGTAGAAGGAGCAATGTAGAGTTGGTAGGGATACTGAACATTTTCCAATCTAAAAAACAGACCAAAGAAGGCAACCAGACTCTGACTTTTAGTTGAATAAACACTTCACAACTTTAAAAGAACAAAATAAAACACACTTAAAGACTTTTTGAAACAGTTTAAGTATTAGATGACCTTTCATTTACAGCAATATGAAAAACAACACTATTGTCTAGAAGATCCAGCATCTTAAGTTAAGCGAGGACGTATGGCCACTTAATATATCATAAACAATTTTACCTTAGGTAACCTTAATTTTTCTTTTTTAAAATTAAAATTTATTGGAGTGACAATAGTCAACGAAACTACATAGGTTTCAAGTGTACAAGTCTATAATACATCCTTTATATACTGCATATGTGCTCACCACCCAGAGTCAGTTCTCCTTCCATCACCATATATATGACCGTATCCTTAATCTTTCTAATCCTTTCCTTCTGACTAGTGCTTTAATTTTGGCCCTCATCAACACAAGGCTGAATTAATAACACCCTCTCTTTAGCCCCACAGTCCTCTAATTTGATACAATCAGTGCCCGCTTTAAACTCCTGCAATGGTCCATTGTTATCTTCAGAATAAAGTCTAAACCCCTTTGCAAGGCACTCCTCATCTTGGTTCTGTGTGCTTTTCCAGCCTCATGTCTTGTCATATTCTCCAGACATACCCTATACCAAGCAGTTCCTCCTAATGGTTTTCTCTCAGTGCTGTGCTTTTGTACATTTAACTTCCTCGATTACCCTGCCTTCTTTGCCTAGATAACGCCTAGTCGTTTCATTTCATGACATGTAGCCAAGTCACCTCCTCCTCCTGGAAGCCTTCTTTGATTCATCAGTGGCTTAGGTAGGTCCCCCTCCTATGCAGAGCAACACAACCCTCTGCAGATTTGTTTACTTATCTTCAATCTCTCCCCCTCCCCCTAAAATGGTTTGATCTCTTTGAGGGCAAGGGCTACATATTTCATCTCTAATTTAATCTCCACCACTTAGCACAGTATTTAGTATAGAACAAGAAAACCTCATTAATGTTTGAAATTAAGAGGCATCTAGGCACATTTCCATTTGTTTACACATTAATTAATTAATTTAAATGACTTTGGTACATAACCTGCTCTACCAGGTTTAGCTATTCAAGAATAACCCTGTCTGAGTTCTTTGAATCCTTCAAGTTTTCAACAAATACAGTTTTTAAGTCTGTCCTGGACTCTCTCTGAGGAGTTAACTTAGTGGAGTTTATATTCAGTGGTCAGACATATAATACTCAAGAAAATGATCAGAATAGAGAATTAAAACAGGGTGATCCAATAGTGAGTGCTGCTGCTTTATTTTAGACTGGTGGTCAGGAAAAGCTTCCTTGAGAATTGACATCTAGACAGTGATCTGAAGGTCAAGGAGACAACAACGTAAAAATCAAGGGAGAAAGCATTTCATGGAGAGTAAAGGCCATACGTGGCAGAAAGGTCCAAAAGCAGAAGCAAATATAGAATATTCTAGGAACTGAAAGGCAATCTATATGGCTAAAATGTAGTATGCAAGAATGGTCTGAAGGGTTAGACAGAAGTCATATCATGTGTAGCTTTAAAAGGTATAACAAGGAGTTTAGATTTTAAGTATGAATCTATAGGAAAAATTTAGAATTTACGGCTTAGAACAGCAATATAACCTGACTTAGTAAAAATAAAAAGATCATTCCAGCTGCTACATGGAAAATGACTGGAGTAGAGGGAGGATGAAATCGGGGACCAGCTGAAGGCTACTGTAGTAGTCAAGGCAAAAGATGGTGGTGACTTGGGCTTAGGGTGGTTGTAGTGGAAAAGGAGAAAAAGTGAACTGATAGGGGATATGTTTTGGAGGCAGGGCTGACAGGACTTAAGGATTAAATATGGGGAGGGGCAATGGAGAGTGGTGAGGGAAAATAGGATCATGTATAATTCCCAGAGATACTGCTTGAGAAATGTGAGGGGACGATGATGCTGTTTACTGAGCTAGGAAAGACTGGAGGAGCAGGCTTTGAAGGGGAATCAGAAGTCTGCATTTTTGTCTTGGCCATGTTAATTCCAAAATGCCCCTGATAGATCTATGTGGAAACATCAAGCAGAGATGGTCAACCTGATGATAATGACTTGGAAATTATGCGTATAGATGAAGGTTTCGCAAACATTTTCTGTAGCAGGTTAGGTAAATATTTTTGGTTTTGTACACCACAGGATCTCTGTTTCACTGACGTTTGCGACCCACAGTCAATATATAAACAAGTGAGTGTGGCTATGTTCCAATAAAACGTGATTTACAAATAAAGGTTGGTGGGCTAGAACTAGACTGTGGTCCATAGTTTGCCAACCCCTGATATAGATACTATTTAAAGTGATGGGACTAGGCTGTTTTGGAAATGCCAAAAAATGCTCGCATAAATGAGCTAATTTATGATGTGATAATGCTACCTCATTACTCTGAAAAATATACTAAAGTGAGGTCCCAATAAAATTCTTATATAATTTCCAGATAAAATGTTTAAATTTAAGAGTTGCAAGCACAGCCCCTATAAGAAAATGACACGCTATGTTGGTACTAACCGGTCATCATCATCTGCATGAGTGTTAGTGCTGGCAGTGCTCTGAAGTGTAGGTAACCCTTCGGTGACGCCTTCATCTACTGAGCCTGCAAAGAAGAGGACAGCTGTCAATATTCTGGTGTAAATAAGACAAGATATTAATCACAAGCTGTATCTCCAAGCCTCTAAACACAGACTAATGTATACGTATATCCTGAATTATTAATCAAAACTAAGTGTTCTAGGGCCAGCTGAGTGGCTCAGTTGGTTAAGAGTTGGCTTAAGAGCGTGAGCTCTGAGCAACAGGACTGCTGGTTCAATTCCCACATGGGCTAGTGACGCTGCGCCAGAGCTGAGCTGTCCCTGAGCTGCTAACAGGTGGCAGGATGGCTCAGCTGGTGTAACAAAATTGCCTGTTTGATGGTGGGCTATGCCCACTTGCAACTAACACTGAACTTGGCACAGCATCTTGAGCTGAGCTGCCACCCGGATGGCTCGGTGGATAGAGCATGTGCTCTTAACAACAAGGCTACTGGTTCGACTCCCACATGGGATGGTGGCTACGCCCAACCACAACTAAGATTGAACTGAGTACCCTGAGCTTAGAGGCCACGAGCTGCCGATGGGCAGCAAGATGGCTACTGGCGCCCTCCACAACTAAGATTGAAGAACAACAATTTGGCCAGTCCCCTTCTCCAATTCCCCAACACTGTTTTCCTCCCCCAAGTCCCCAATAAAATCTTCAAAAAAAACCAACAAAAAACCCTAAGTGTTCTGTAATATTTTACTCTTTTACTTTAATTAAATGTTTATGTGATTTCAAAACATCATGTGAGACAGCAGCCTTATATTACTACTTAACTTTTTTTAGTATTCCTTTGATATAAATTTTTGAAACAAGCAGAGCAAGTCAAAGATAAACTAAACAAAAATTCACATAAAATTAAATGTAACAATCACTTAAGGAACCACTGACTCTATTTTTTAACTTGTCACATAAGACTTACTTATTATACATACAACTTGTACATAATTAAGAAGATAGCTATCGGGGACTTCTGGTAAGATGGCGGAATAGACAGATGCTGTGCCAACTGCCTCCCAAGATCATACCAAAATTACAAATATTTTATACAACATTCAACCACGGAAGTCCCCTGAACACTAGATGAACAGAACCTCTAAACTAAGGATTTAAAAAAGAGGCCATGTGGAGACTGGTAGGAGGGGCGGAGAAGTGAGGCAGGCTGACTCCAGTACCACAGAGAGAGGGCGAACCCTGTGAGGGACACCACAGCGGTGGGGAGGCTTCTCCTGTTCAGGAAGGGACCCTCCGGCCCCACGCGGAGCTCACCAGCCCAGAGTTACTTTGCTGGGAAGAGGAGTTCCACAATAGCTGGCAGTAGAAATTAGCGAGAACTCTCTTTGCTCAACTCGGTGAGGCAGAGGGTGGCTAGAGAACCCGTCGCCCTCCTGTGGAGCTGGCACACGGGCTCGCTGGCTGGTGAGCGCTCACCCTGTCTCTGGCAGAGGGAGTGGCTCCATGGGGGGTTGGAGGGTGGGCAGAAGCCTGCGGGGAAGAACTGAGCACCTTTGGCACAGGAGATGGAGGTGTTGGGGACATTGTTCCCACTGTGTGGAGTTTGCACACGAGTAGTTAACAGGAGGGCACCATTTTTTCAGAGTTGTGCCCTCCTATAGAGGGTCAGGCCTGGGACCGCATTGGTCTAGTGGAATTGGAGCAGGCGTGTGTGCATGCTGCCTTGGGTCCCCGCTCCCCACACTGCTTGTGCTGGGTAGCCAGGGTAGCGCCTGGTGGGCGTGCTCCGGCTCCAACAGGCTGCTCATTGCGACACAGGTGCGCACAAACGGCCTTGGGTCCCCACTTTCCGCATGCAGTGTGTATGCAGAGCTGCCTGGGTGGCAACTGGCTGTGGGGCTGTTTGCCTGATCTGCGAGCTACTGACTGGGACTGGGAGTTTTCCTGGGAGTGTTGGGCTAGGAGCTGTGCGCCTGCATGATCTGGCAGGGACATTCATGGCGCGTTTGTGTGAGCTGGTTGCTGGTGTAGGAGCACATGCTGCTCTGACATGGTGGGGGCCACTGTGGTGCCTTGGGGGCCTGCCCCACCCAACTAGAGCTGTGTTGCCGGGGGCACCTTGGGCCCCTGGTGCCTGGCCCCCATCTTCACAGGCCACAGAGGGTTTTTGCAGCAGCAGACAGCCCACAGCAATGTGTGAGGATTTTTGGTGGTGAGCATGGCTCCAGAGCACCTGGAAGCTAATTGCAGGAAGCTCACTGCAATCCTGAGAGGAAAGCCGGTGCACTACACATTGGGCCCTTCCCCCCAACACAGCTGGTAGCCCAGAGACTCATTGCTGAGCAAGTGGTCTGCAGATTAAAGTGGGTGGAGAGCCTTTTTTTTTCCTTTCTCTTTTTTGTTTTCCTTTTTCTTCCCCCCCCCCTTTTTGTTTTTTTATTCTTTTTTCTTTCATCTTTTTGCTCCTTTTTCTTCTTTTCATTCATCTCTTTTCTTTTTGTCATTGTTTCTCAGGCTTGTTTATCTGGTTATTGCTTTGGTTACTGTTTTTCTGTCTTCTTTGCCTGTTTTTGTGTTTGTGTTTTTCTCTTTTATATATTTTTGCTTCTCCTGTCTGATCATTGTTTATCATGTTTTTGTGGGGGTGTATTTGTTTTTGGGTGTTGTTGGGTTGCCCTACTATTTTTTGTTTTATGAAGTGGACGTGAACCTAGCACTGGTCCAGGAGCTGAGAAACTACACTGAATTTGTAGAAACCACTGACCACAGCTTTTGCGCACCTATACCACCACCTCGCCCACATAGAGCTGCATTGCCAGGGGCAATCGGGGTGACGGGGTGACTGGCCCACCCCCACAAATGGTGGAAAAGAATTTTTACAACAGAAGGTGGTCCACAGATCCCTGGGATCATCTTCATGGTGTTCAGTGACCACAAACCTGCACCACAGCCACTCGGGAGCAGCTTTCGTGAATCTGTGAGCGTAAGGTGGAGGCTGGCTGTAGTGCCCTTAGGACGCTTATACAAGGGGGTCACAGGCCAGGTATTTGTGTAAGACCTGAATTTGCATTAACGTCTTAAAAACCACCAATCACGTCTCATAACTCACTTGAACTCCATCCTGCCAAGCTAGTGCCACAGGTCGAGGGCACCCTAAACACCAGTACACATAGCCAGACACACGCTCCTAAAAAGCCTCTTTCAATAGTTGGGTCTTACCAGCATCTGACAGGTGGCAACAGACCTAGAGGGCTCTGGGCCTTTTGATAAACTGCCTCAGGACCAATATAGGGGGCAGCCAGCCTCAGATCACACAGAGACCATCCCCACGTGACTCCAGGTCCAGCATGGACAGCAGCCAACTGCATACAGCTTTGAGACACCTAGCAGGTAGCTACAGACTGGTAACAGGCAGGTCTGAAACGGCTCTGAGTGGGAACCCCATCTAAGACACACCAGAACCAATATACCCAGAGGCCAGTGTTAGACAAAGCCAGAGCACTACTTGGTTGAACCTACAAGTGGCACTCTCAAAGGACGTTTTCCACAGGCAAAAGAGACCACAGTGGCCAAGACTCTTCTGAGGGGGTTAACCTCCACATAGCATCTCATATACTGTGAAAAGAGCTAATTCTCCCAGCTAATCAGTCTGAGGGTCAATCCCACCCTCTGACAAGCAAAAAGCAATTAAAGAGCAACTTCAACAGCGACACCTCTGGACGACATGGGACAGGAGAATAGGGAGACTGTGCAATCAGAATATAAAGGACACATACTACAAGACCACCCAGCAATGACTGAGAGACACAGGTGATCTACCAAATACATCGAAGCAATCACACAGCCACAGCCAGAATAAAGAAACAAAGAAACATGTCCCAAGTAAAGGATCAGAAGAAACCTCTAGAAATGAAACTAAATGAAACAGAGGTATCCAATCTTTCAGAGAGAGTTTAGAACCCTGATGATAAGAATGTTGAAGGAACTTAGTGAGGACATAAAGGGGATCGAGAAATCATAAAAAATAACCATTCAGAACTAAAGAATACAATAACTGAAATGAAGAACACACTCGAAGGAACCACCAGTAGATTAGATGAAGCAGAGGATCGATCAGCAGTAGTAGGGGGACTTCAACACCCTTTGTTACCAATGGACAGATCCTCCAGACAGAAAATCAACACGGAAACAGTGGCCTTAAATGACACTTTAGACCAGTTGGATTGAATCGATATTTTTAGATCATGTCACCCCAAAGCAACAGACTGTACATTCTTCTCAAGTGCACATGGCATCTTTTCCAAGATAGACCACATGTTAGAACACAAAACAAGTCTCAATAAATTTAAGAAGACTGAAATCATATCAAGCATTCTTCTCTGACCACAACGCTATGAAACTAGAAGTCAATTATAAGAAGAAATACGGAAAGCACAAAAATACATGGAGGCTGGATAACATGCTTCTAAATAGCGAGTGGGTCAACAATGAATCAAGGAAGAAATCAAGATTCCTCGAGAGAAACGAAAATGAAAACACAATAACCCAAAATCTATGGGATGCAGCAAAAGCAGTCCTAAAAGGAAAATTCATAGCAATGCAGGCCTATCTAAAGAAACAAGAAAATTCTCAAATCAACAGGCTATCTTTACACCCAAGGGAACTGGAAAAAGAACAGCAAAACAAGCCCAAAGGAGTACAAGGAAGGAAACAATAAAGATCAGAGCAGAATAAATGAAATAGAGACCAAAAAACAATACAAAAGATCAATGAAACCAAGAGCTGGTTTTTTGAGAAGATAAACAAATTCAACAAACCCTTAGCCAGACTCACCAAGTAAAAGAGAGGACCCAAATTAATAAAATCAGAAATGAAAGAAGAGAAGTGACAACAGATATCACAGAAATACGGAAAATTTTAAGAATATACTATGAGCACTATATGCCAACAAATTAGACAATCTGGGAGAAATGGATAAATTTCTAGAAGCATACAATCTTCCAAATCTGAACCAAGAAGAAACACAAACTCTGAACAGACTGACTGCTACCCCAGAAATTGAATCAG